CTTGGCGTTATGCACGTACTTCGAACTAGACTGCATGTTAACGGTTGGCGTTATACACGTACTTCGAACCAGGCTGCATCGTTAACGGTTGTCGTTATACACGTACTTCGAACCAGGCTGTATCGTTAACGGTTGTCGTTATGCACGTACTTCGAACCAGGCTGTATCGTTAACGGTTGGCGTTATACACGTACTTCGAACTAGGCTGCATCGTTAACGGATGGCGTTATACACGTACTTCGAACTAGACTGCATCGTTAACGGTTGGCGTTATACACGTACTTCTAACTAGGCTGCATCGTTAACGGTTGTCGTTATGCACGTACTTCGAACCAGGCTGCATCGTTAACGGTTGTCGTTATGCCCGTACTTCGAACTAGGCTGCATCGTTAACGGTTGGCGTTATGTACGTACTTCGAACTACGCTGCATCGTTAACGGTTGGCGTTATGCACGTACTTCGAACTAGACTGCATGTTAACGGTTGTCGTTATGCACGTACTTCGAAGTAGGGTGCATCGTTAACGGTTGGCGTTATGCACGTACTTCGAACTAGACTGCATCGTTAACGGTTGGCGTTATGTACGTACTTCGAACTACGCTGCATCGTTAACGGTTGGCGTTATGCACGTACTTCGAACTAGACTGCATGTTAACGGTTGTCGTTATGCACGTACTTCGAAGTATACTGCATGTTAACGGTTGGCGTTATGCACGTACTTCGAATTAGACTGCATCGTTAACGGTTGGCGTTATACACGTACTTCTAACTAGGCTGCATCGTTAACGGTTGTCGTTATGCCCGTACTTCGAACTAGGCTGCATCGTTAACGGTTGGCGTTATGTACGTACTTCGAACAACGCTGCATCGTTAACGGTTGGCGTTATGCAAGTACTTCGAACTAGACTGCATGTTAACGGTTGGCGTTATACACGTACTTCGAATCAGGCTGCATCGTTAACGGTTGTCGTTATGCCCGTACTTCGAACTAGGCTGCATCGTTAACGGTTGGCGTTATGTACGTACTTCGAACAACGCTGCATCGTTAACGGTTGGCGTTATGCACGTACTTCGAACTAGACTGCATGTTAACGGTTGTCGTTATGCACGTACTTCGAAGTAGGGTGCATCGTTAACGGTTGGCGTTATGCACGTACTTCGAACTAGACTGCATCGTTAACGGTTGGCGTTATACACGTACTTCGAACTAGGCTGTATCGTTAACGGTTGGCGTTAGACACGTACTTCGAACTAGGCTGCATCGTTAACGGTTGTGTCGCATACGACTTGTTTACCACTTCCGTGTGACTGAGAATGTTCTAGAACCGTACTGTGTCTAGGTGGAATTTTTAGAAACTGATTGAATAGGTAATAGAACACTGTAGGAGGCAATAGAAGGTAACGGAACATTCTAGAAATTTGTAGTAAGTTCTAGACTCATTATGTATGCTGATGTAATGGTCTATTTATAGACAGTGTGGGTATATATAGGGGAGTTGTTCAGCACTGAGATCAGATTGGGGATCTCGTTGAATTGTGTTGAAGTTTAAGTATCTAGTTATTGGAGTAGTGGAGTTTTACCGCGTTATTGTACTTAATGTTTGCAGAGTATAATAATACCAGTACCAGTTGAAACCTCATCTGTTGGCTCCGTGTTCGTATTTTATCATCGCCGCCAGGAAAGTCTTTCAATCTGTTACTGTTGCCATTTTGGTATTTGAACCATCACACCTGTACTATACCAATTACGGTAATATTACGTTGCGTGTGACAGGTTGTCGTTATGCACGTACTTCGAACTAGACTGCATCGT